TATTATTATTATTATTATTATTATTATTATTATTATTATTATTATTATTATTATTAATAATTAACAACAGAATACAAAATTTTTAAAGAGAACAGTCAAAATGCAATTTTTTAAAATTGAAGATTTATCAATAATATTATGATCTAAATATCTAAAGGCTTTAATCAGACCAAAAAATAAAGAATTGGATGCTGTGCACTTTGTGAAGGTGGTATCGAGTCCTCGCCGTCTCTCAGTCACTCGTTCGTGCAAGAATCGAAAGACACCGGAGACTTTTAACGAGTTCGGTTACCGAGCAAGCTCGGGCCTACATCTCGGCCGGACGGTGCCGGCGAATCCACTAGAGACGGAAAGAGAACAGCGGGAAACAGAAGCTCGGCGGATCTCCACAGATCCGGAACCTCACCGAGAAGAACCGAAACAAGAACAAGAGAAATCACCGAGGGATGCAAACCTGTACCGGGATCTTACCGATCTACCACCGAGCCTCCATGACGGACCTCCGAAACGGCTCCACCGTACGCTCGCCGCAAGCCCTCTTCTCCTCTCTCCTCTTCTTTTCTTCTCTGCTGCTCAAAGTGACGAAGTATCGAGAGACTAGGGTTGAAAAACCCTAACATGTTGAAACGCTCCGTTTCAATTAAGTGACCGAAACCTCCCTTCGGTTTGGAGGATTCTCTTTTTCACCAAATGGGCCCTTAAGGCCCAACACTGTGCTTATTAAAAAAATGAAAAATGAAAACAAAATCTTCATATTACATTAGAAACCTTTTTTTTTTTAATTTTCACCGAAAACTTTTTTTTTTATAACGGAGCGTCCTCGGCCGAAGCCCAAACTAATCTCCGGGTCGGGAGAAAGCCATGTGCTTTGAAATATTCGCTCATCTCCCCACCCTGGGACTCGAACTTGGGTCACCGAAAACTTCCGAACGAGTATATAAAAAAAAGTTAATAGAAAAGTTTCCATCACACATGCGCATCATAGTGGACTATATATATATAATGCAGACATCAATTGGATGTTTTGTCTCTTGTGTCGTCTTCTCCTTTTGTCCTCTCTCTTCTTCTCCTTGTTCAAAACCCTTATTTCTGCTCCTCTCTTTATTATTTTTTTTTTCCCCATAATTTTCCAATAAGAAAAATAATCACTAAATATGTATTCGATGAGAGGAGAAGATTGCTTCCGATCGTTACACAACATACAAGAGTATCAAAACCAGCCAACCCTCCCTTGGACCCGCCCATCATTCTACCCGGCCATGTCTTCCTTCGGATACTCCGACTTGACCCGACGAGACGGTTTCGGTTCTCCGATTCCCTCCATGGATCATCACCACAACCATCTTCAGTTCTTGTCCGAAGCTCTCGGACCTAACATGAGACCCGGGTCGGGTCTGGGTTGGGTCGGGTTCGGTGGAGAGATGGGGCAAATGACGGCTCGAGAGATTATGGATGTTAAGGCTTTGGCTGCTTCGAAGAGCCACAGTGAAGCCGAGAGGAGGCGACGAGAGAGGATTAATAATCATCTTTCTAAGCTGCGTAGCATATTACCAAACACAACTAAAGTAAGTCCAATCACATATACATATATGTATCTCTTACCTTAAACATATATGTTAATCATAATCATTTAAAAAAAAATTATATGCTTATCATTTAGGTTTGGGTTTTTTCTTTGACATCTTTGTTATGGGATTGTGAAATTTCATATATATATATATATATATATATGTGTGTGTGTACATGTGTGTATCTCAAGGACACCTTCTGTAGTTAAAGATATATGGGTGTGAAAATTTTGATTGGAGAACCTTTTTTATACGGGTGTAATAATTTTGTACGTGTACTTATTCTCTTTTGGTTATATATATCGTACGCATTTGATGTATCATGAATGTGATGTACATTTACATATATAAATTTATATTAATCCAAATGATTAACAAGAATTATAATTTTTCATGAAGACGGACAAAGCCTCTTTGCTGGCGGAAGTTATCCAACATACGAAAGAACTGAAACAGCAAACGTCTCTGATCGCCGATACGTGTCCGATCCCGACTGAGACCGACGAGCTGACTGTAGATTTTTCCTACGACGATGGCGATGGCAACTTCGTGATAAAGGCGTCATTCTGCTGCCAAGACAGGGCTGATCTCATGAATGACGTCATCAAGGCGCTGAAGGAACTGCGTTTGCAAACGCGCAAAGCCGAGATCACGACCGTTGGCAGCCGCGTCAAGAACGTGCTTTTCATAAGCGGTGAAGAAACTCGAGCTGATGATGAACAAAAGATATATAACCGTGTGAGTTTGATCCAAGCAGCTTTGAAGGCGGTGATAGAGAAATGTGTTCCAGGGGATAGCAATTCCGACCAGTCTTCTCTAGGAGGTGCCAAGAGACAAAGAACTAATAATATTACTAATCGTTGTTACTGATAATATATATACACACAAACTTTAGGTTATAATTTTAGCAATAGAATGATTTTTTTTATAACGGAGGACCCCTAACTGCTACCCTTCGGGCGCACTGACTAGGTAAACCTCCGTCCCGGGAGCAGCCTTTGTATATGAATCATATAAACCCAGAAATTACCTCCCTCCCCACCAGCCAATAATCGAACACTCAACCTCAAGGTGAAGTTACCTCCTACCCCAAACTTGACCACTCGCCCACAATCTGTTGGGTTTTAGCAATAGAATGATATACTGAACCATCAGGGTTCTTTCGTTATCTGATGTAGAAACCTTCGGTTTAGGGTTTATAATGATGGGTTTGGTTTATACATATGTACTCGAGACTCTTTGTTGTCTTAAGACATGAAATTGTAAACTAAAGTGGTCGGCTTTGGGTTAGTGAATGAATGAATTCTAGTGGGGTTGCGCTATTCAATCAAAATTTCATATATATATACACACACACACAATGAAGATAGATAGCTCAAAGGTGCAAGTAGTGATCATAAGCTATTCAACATGTGCACACGATTTGGGTACTAACACATATATCGAATATTATTTGGAAGATTAATGAATTTGTAGTAATGATATGAACAAAAACAGGTGGTCCGTTGAAAGAGAGAGAAAGAAAGTACAATTCAAGGCCTGTTGGGCTTACGAATTGGGCCTATACTTGAAAGTTCAAAAATCATTACAAAAACAGTCTCCGTATATTTTTCTTTCATTCTATCTATTTTTTTTTTTTGTATATGGTAGGAGTGGCCATAATATCCGAAAAAATCGAACCGATCCGTTATTCGATTCGTATCCGAATCGAAAATTCGGATATCCAGAGTTCACGGATCGGATACGGATAGTGGTTTTAAAATATTTGTCGGATACGGATCGGATACGGATATCAAAATAGAATTATCCGATATATCCGATCCGATCCGTATTTTTTTTATGTATTAATAATATATGGATAATTTAGTAATTAACTTATATATGGGGGACAACTTTGTAAAAAATAAAAATATACTAGGGTTTTTTTTGTTTCGTCGTTCTTTTCCTCTTCTCTTTGTCCGCCTCCCTCCCTCTCTCTCTCTCTACACCATTTTTATTCGCTCCAAACTCATCACCATTTCTACAGGCTCCAAGCTCACCACCATCACCCTCCTCTCCAAGCTCATCATCATTTTTGCTGTTTTCAGACACTTTCTGGTTATTACCAGTCTGGTATCTTGGTTTTCGTTGGCGATTATCCTTAGATTCATTCTTTTTTCCATTTATATATAGTTTGTATTTGATAGATTATATATATTTTTTGTGTTTATTTTTTTTAATTTTATTTATTATTTTTGTTATTTTTATATTAGATACGTATATTTGTAAATATCCGTAGTTTTTGCGGATATTCGAAATTGCGGATATTCGAAACTACGGATCAGATATGAATAATAAAATTTGATATAAAGGATCGAGCATGAAGTTGAATGGAATCAAATGTACCAAAAACATTATCCGGATAGAGCAATAAAAAAAGATCATATATTATTAAAAAAAAGTTTAAAAAAACCCCGGAAAGTATAACAAAAGAACAATGCATGTAAGTGTGTGTCCACAAGGAACATATACATGTGTAGACCAATTATAACTTGTATAAGAATAAACTCATAAAACACATGCATTGAAAAAATAAACAATGGCATACTGTCACCACATCATTACAGATCAATACTTAGTCGGATTTGGGAGACAACATAGGCCTCCTTGATTATTTGGAGCATTGAACCTACGGAAAAATTTAAGAAAAAAAAAAGAAGAGAAAGATCCATATATATATATATATATTGCATCAGTTTGCTTTCTCTCCTCTTTTGTCAAATTAGAAGAATCCATTTTTTGGAAATTGACATTTCTTGAGGCTGGCAAATTTAAATTATCGTTGGATTCCGATTGGTCATTGGTCGGATATTGGTTGCGCAAGTGTATATTATTTTGTTTAAAAATTTAATCTTCCATACAATTCCATCTCCAATATCGTATTATTTCCCATAAAAAAACAAAGAAAAATAACTTTTTTTTTTTAATCTGGCAGAGAGAGAACGAAACACATTGGGACAAATTTTTCTTGTATTTTCAAAAATGAATGAAAACTACTACATATACGATTCAGCTCTAACGAAAAAAAAATAAATGCGAAAATGTTAAGTATATAAACCGGAAATAAGAAAACACATTGAACCGAACCGAGTTAAACCGAACTAACAAAATACGTTCTCCAATACTCCCCCTCAAGATGGAGAATACAAAGATTGTATTCCCATCTTGGCGAATAAATGAGAATGTTGATCGAAAGACAACAGCTTGGTCAATAAATCAGCAACCTGATCGTGTGATGGCACATAAACCAGATTAAGAAACCCGAGCTTGAATTTGTCCCGAACAAGATGACAGTCTAATTCTATATGCTTGGTATGCTCATGCTGTACAAGATTGTGAACCATGTGAATTGCAAATTGAGAATCATAGTGAAGATCCACAGGTTTCGGACATCCAATCCCAAGCTCCTGCCAACAATGAGTACAACCATACCAACTCACAAGTAGATTGAGCCAACGCACGATACTCAAATTCCGCACTTCTTCTAGACACCGTAACCTGTTACTTCGACTTCCATGAGACCAAACTAGATTCCAAAAAAATACAAAAACCAGTCGCAGAACGCCCAGAATCCGGACAAGATGCCCAGTCAGCATCCGTAAATCCAGACAACTGAAGAGAAGAAGCAGCTGGATAGAACAAACCCTGAGCACGAGATGACTTGATGTACCTCAAAACACGATGAGCAGCCATCAAATGCTCAGTACATGGAGCCGACATAAATTGAGAAAGTTTGTTTACTGAAAATGAAATATCAGGATGTGTGACAGCAAGGTAAATCAGTTTTCCCACTAGCTTCCGATAATGTGTTGCATCCTCCAACAAAGGGCCAGAATCCTTACTAAGTTTCTGCTTCACATCCATAGGTGTCCTAGCTGGTTTACATCCAAGCAAATCAAACTCCTCCAACATCTCCAATGCATATTTCCTTTGACAAAGTGAAATACCAGCCTTAGATCTAGTAATCTCAATACCCAAGAAGAATTTCAAAGAACCGAGGTCCTTAACCAAAAACTGAGCATGAAGTGTATCCTTAAAATGTTGCACTAATCCAGCATCATTGCATGTCATCAAAATATCATCAACATAGACTAATGCCATGACAACATTAGAACCAACACGTTTCACAAACAGAGAGTTATCTGCATGACATTGTTTGTAACCAGCAGCAACCAACACGCTTGTCAATTTCAGATTCCATTGCCTTGAAGCTTACTTCAGGCCATAAAGTGATTTCTGCAACTTGCAAACTGAGTTAGGTAAAACTTTCTCCCCATGAAACAAAGAATATCCCTGAGGTAAAGTCATATAGATCTCCTTATCTAAATCATCATTAAGAAATGCATTAGACACATCTGTTTGATCCAAAATCCAACCATTAGCAGCAGCCAAAGTAAGCATTGTTCGAACAGTGGTAGGCTTTGCAATAGGACTGAAAGTGTCCACATAATCTACACCCTCAATTTGAGTATATCCCTTAGCAACAAGTCTAGCCTTATACCTCTCAATGGATCCATCCGGATTATACTTTATCTTATATACCCATTTACAACCAACGGAGCGTTTTCCATCAGGCAATGAGCATATAGACCAAGTGCTAGTCTGAATCAAAGCATCTAACTCCAATTTCATAGCATTCTCCATTGGGCATATTTTACAGCTTTAGTATAGCATGAGGGCTCGGTTTCAGTTGTGATAGAAAGAACAAAGGTTTTAAAAGAAAGGTGAAGTTTATCATAGGTGAGAAAATTATAAATAGGATAAAAGGTTGGACAAGAATCAGAAGGTGGGGAATTATGTGTAAGGTGATAACAATGGTAATCAGATAAGTATGCAGGGCGTTTTGTCACTCTATGTGGTCTACCATTATCCTCTGAAACATGCTCATTAACCACTAGAGAAGAATGAATAGAATGAGGAGAAACAGGGGAAGCATAATCTCCTGTGAAATCTGATGAGGTCTGATAAGAATCATAAAGAAAAGGTGGAGGAATAGAAATCTCAGCTTATTTTTTCTGAATCAGAAACTCAATTTCAACATTGTTCTATTTGTCCCCTTGCTAAACAGAAACAATTATCATTTCCTATTTCTGGAAAACTATCTGATATTCCTTTTGAATTACTACATATTGATGTTTAGGGACCATTTCATGTTCCAACTGTTGAGGGATTCAAGTACTTCTTAACTATAGTGGATGATTGTTCACGGGTGACTTAGCTCTATTTGCTTAGACATAAATCTGATGTTTTACAGAAATTTTCTGGTTTCTTAAATTTGATTGAGAATCAATTTTCTGCTAAAGTGAAATCCATTAGGTCTGATAATGCTCCTGAGTTATAGTTTTCAGATCTTTTAACTTCAAAAGGCATTGTCCATTTCAAATCTTGTCCATATACTCCAGAACAAAATTCTGTAGTTGAAAGAAAGCATCAACATGTTTTGAATGTGGCTCGATCTTTATATTTCCAATTTCATATACCTTTACCTTACTGGAGTCATTGTGTTTTAGCAGCTGTTTTTTTTATTAATAGAATTCCCACACATGTTTTGAACAACAAGAGTCCTTTAGAGGTTCTTTCTGGCAGTAAACCAGATTATTCCAATTTAAAAGTTTTTGGATGTCTTTGTTATGCTTCAACTTTAATCAAAGATCGCCACAAGTTTAGTCCTAGAGTCAATGCATCAGTGTTTCTTGGTTATCCAGCTGGCGTTAAGGGGTACATTGTTCTCTATCTGGAAACTCAAAAAATTATTGTCACTCGAAAATGGTTTTTCAGAAGGATATCTTTCCTTTTAAGCAGAAATCTATACATTCTCATCTTTCTATTCTTCCTATTTCTGCTTCATCTGATGAGATTTCTAATAAAAGGATGGTACATACAAAACAGAATGAAGAGTGAGTGATGAAGAAAGAATAACCGAGCCAGATTGATCAACAGACAAGACATAACCATTTGGCAAGGTTATGGAAACAAGTGGAATTAAGCATATTTCAGAGTATAATGATAAATCACAACAGACATGACTATTCGCACCCGTATCCAAAATCCAAACCATAGTGGGAATTTTAAGGCTAGGTTCCAGTGTAGAAAAAACAGAATGAGAAGAAGGTGAGGTACTTGGGGAAGAGGGTTGGTGAGCTGTAAAATCTGTCTCATTGAAAGAGTTGCGCAGTCCTTGAAGTTGAGATATGAATTGAGCCAGAAGAGCCTCAGCCTTATCCTCAAAGCCTGACTTAGCAGAAAAAAGAGTCATAGAGCTTCTAACT